AATAAGCCAATATAACTGTAATTTGAGCAGACATTTTATAATCTTACACTGAAACATGTGAGAGGGAAAAAAAGTTAATTTTGCAGAACTAAGGAAAAAGATCAATACAGAAGTGAGGAGACTCAATGAACCCCCAAAAGATAAGTAACCTATACTCCAGTAGGGCAACTGCCTGAAACCAAAGATATATTTTTAAAATTCACCAGCAGGAGGAAAGGTAGATAATCGTCTTGTTGCTATACGGGAAGCCAGAGACTGTGGAAGGCTTGGAAGGAAGAGGGAAGTAGAGAAGAGAGGAGAGTGGAGGATAAAGGAGGAAGAATGAAGACTCAACTGACTTCATGAAAGTAGCATAACTTTGCTATGAGAAAAACAGGCCTTTCTCTATGAATATAGTTGGAAAAAATATTATCAAACCAAATTCAGCAATAAAGATGCTGAGGGTACATCAAAAAGTTTGTGGAAGACAATGCCACAACTGAGAAAGAACTTCTAAGATCAATCCCATTCTCAATAATCAAATATCTTGGACTAAATTTAACCAAGGATAATAAATATCTCTACAAAGAGAACTACAAAACATTAAAAAAAGACATAAAAATGGAAAAATCTTGCATGTTCATGGATTGGAAGAAGCAATATAATCTAAATGACCATACTACCAAAAGCAACTTACAGATTCAGTGTGATACCAATCAAAATATCAAGGACAACCTTTGCAGATATAGAAAAAATGATGCTGAAATTCATACGGAAATACAGGAGACCCCAATAGCTAAAGCAATCTTATGCAACAAAAACAAAGCAGGAGGCATCACAATACCAGATTTCAAGACATACTACAGGGAAGTTATAATCAAAACAGCCTGGTACTGGTACAAAACCAGATGGATAGACCAATGGGACAGAATAAAAATGCAGAAATCAATCACGCATCTAAAGCCAACTTATCTTTGATAAAGGAGCTAAAATCAATCGCTGGAGCAAGGAGAATCTCTTCAACAAATGGTGCTGGGAAAACTGGATCTCCACATGCAGAAATAAGAAGACCCCTACCTTACACCTTACAAAAAAATCCACTCAAAATGTATTAAAGGCCTAAATCTACAACCCAATACTTGCAACAAAATGGATGAAACTGGAAAATACCATGCTTAGTCCTGATCTGATAACTAAAGGTAATCTATAGAAGTGAAATTAACACTTCAAGATGCATGACATTGAACAGCCCTTGTCTCAACTGTTGAGGAAGATTTTTTCCCCCTATTATTTGTTGAACTCTACTTAACATAGAGTGAACCATATGAGTATAAAGTTAATTAAAAATAGAGCTTAGTAAAAAATAATAATGGGAATAGGAGAGAAAGGAGGAAGAGGGATGAGAGTGTGGGTGAGAGAGCGGTTACAGTGGGAAGAATCACCATGTCCCTAGTGTTGTAATTATGAAATGTATGAAGTTTGTATTTCTTAAATAAAAAGTTTCTGGGGGAAAAAAAAGTTTGTGGATCAATGGAATTATTTTCCATTAACTTAGGAAACCGCTCATATGCCATGACCAAGTTGGGTTTATACCAGGCACACAAGGTTGTGGGGCATTAATATAAAGAAACACGATAATAAAATGTACTATAGACACATGAAATATGGGTAAAATCTGTCTTGAGAAAAAGAAACAGGACCTCAGAATCCATGAGTCCACTTCTGTAACATTCAAAACCAGACAAAACAAAACATAAGCTTACATAGTCAGCAAACTACAGAAAAGGTAATGATTGCTTTAAATGTCAAAAGAATGGATGCCTCTGGCAGTGGGGTGTGACAGGAGGGATGCACTCCTGGCAGCTGGCAGTATTCAGCTGGGTCACTTTGGTAATGGTTATTTAGATGTTCCTATTTTGTAGTTACTCACTATATGGTACTTATGTCTTACACACTTTCCCAAGTTCTTTATTTCATAAAGTAAAAATACAATATTCAAAACTGACAAACAGATCAGTTTCCAACCCAAAGACTCCTCTCAGATTCTCCCATAAAGCTTTTATTAAACTTTGCTTTTATTTCATTTTATGAATTTTAGGAAAGTTCTAAGTCTGCCCTTATGTTGCCATCTTCCTATAGATTAAATTCCATGTTTTAGTTCCAACCCCTTATGTCAGTAAGGCTAATTCCTTTTTTTTTTTTTTTTTTTTGACAGGCAGAGTGGACAGTGAGAGAGAGAGAGAGAGACAGAGAGAAAGGTCTTCCTTTGCCATTGGTTCACCCTCCAACGGCCGCTGCGGCCAGCGCACTGCAGCCGGCGCACCGCGCTGATCCGATGGCAGGAGCCAGGTACTTATCCTGGTCTCCCATGGGGTGCAGGGCCCAAGCACCTGGGCCATCCTCCACTGCACTCCCTGGCCACAGCAGAGGGCTGGCCTGGAAGAGGGGCAACCGGGACAGAATCCAGCGCCCAACCAGGACTAGAACCCGTGCGCGCCGCAGGCGAGATAGCTAGTGAGGCCGCGGCCCCGGCCATTCCTTTTTCTGAGTCTTTAAAAATCTAAGAATATTACCTCACCAAAGGGGACCTTCTCCAGGTAGGGTGGGGGACCCCACCCCACCACAGTCACAACCCTCCCTTCCCCAATACATCTCTAAACAAAAACCCGAGGTCTTTAATCTACACCCTCCCCAACCATATATGGTTCCAAGTGTCTAACTTCCAGAGCAACTTCATACATGAGCATCTCCCTTTAAGCGAAGTGACCAGTTGGAAAGAAATTTTTTTTGTTATTTGACAGGCAGAGTTATAGACAGTGAGAAAGGTCTTCCTTCCATTGGTTGACTCCCCCAGCGGCCACCACGGCTGGCACTGCGCCAATCCAAAGCCAGGAGCTTCTTCCTGGTCTCCCATGCGGGTGCATCCTCCACTGCCCTCCCAAGGCCACAGCAAAGGGCTGGACTGAAGAGGACCAACCGGGACTAGAACCTGGTGCCCATATAGGATGCCAGCGCCACAGGTGAAGGATTAACCAAGTGAGCCATGGCATCAGCCCCAAGAAATTCTAGATATATACAAAGTAGAGTAGGACTTCCGTTAAACCATCTCTTCTATTCTATATGGTCTGCCTCTATCACTTGGAAGAGACTAAAAATGCTGCAAAAAACAAGCCTGAAGCTCTAAGGTACTGAGTTTTCAGTGGTTGCTAGGGTCTGAACAGCAGTTGCCACGTCCTCTTAATTCATATGTTGGAAACTCACCACAACCATATTGCAAAGAGGGGCCTAATGAGAGACAAACGATGAAAGCTCTGGCCTCATAAATGAACTAATGCCCTAATGATGCTTGTGTGAGTGGACTGTCTTCTACAACATGAAGACATAGTAATGAGGTGTTTATCATGAATCAGAGACAAACCTGCTGGAGTCCTGATGTAAAGTTCTCATCCTCCAAAACTATGAGAATAAATTTCTGCTCTTCACAAATTACCCAAGCTCAGATACTGTTACATTAGCACAAGAGGGACTAAGGCAGTGGTCACTATTAGCTAAATATTATCCAAGTTACTAATTGAGTCTATTGTTGTCATCTGTAAAATGAATGTTTTATGCATTCCCACAGATACGGTATGAGAAAGAAATGAACTGTTATAAAGTGCTTAACGTAGATCTTCTGTAAGTGATAACTAACATCCTCACTGTAAAATTAAGACCCTATATCTTGATAGCCACCTAATTCTATTTGTTTTGTTTGCTTCTATGTATTGGTCAAGGTTCAGCTGCACAGAATAGAATCTACTGGCTAGTTTAGCAGAAAAGGATTTATCTAAGTTTTATTGAGTACTACAGAAAGAATCTCTACCATGACCCAGTACACACATGCCAGGATAAATATGTATTCCACATAATTTTCACAATACTTGCCATTTTGACACCTCTCATCCTTTTTCATTTTTTGAAATCTGATTATGTCTCATTGAGTTGTTTTGCAACTCACCAAGATTGGGACCTACAGATGGACAATTACATTGCAGGATATTAAATGACCTTGAGGACAGAAGAAACTAACTGTATCCTGTGCTTCCAGGAACTGGCCGGCTAACCAAGAGCTGCCAGCTCCAGACACAACTAACCTGCAGGCACCCTCAAATGATGCCTGGCGAGTCTCAGTGCATGTGAGCAACAAACCCTCAGCGACACCTGAAACTGGTACAAAGGAGTCTGGAAAATATAATAGGAAACCACACCAGCAGAAAGTTGCAATAGATGTTAATCAAGCTAATCCACAATCACTTCCACATATGAAATGAAATGCTGCCTGTACATATCCACTCAGCTGTGTACTTTGATAGAATTACATATTATTACATTTATTTCATCCCTGTTAAATTGTGTATTTCCTGGACACAGATTATTTTTGCTTCTTGAGTGAGGGGAAATTGTAGAACTACAGCTAGTGCAATTAGCCTGATGGGGTAAAATTCAGAGGAACAATTCAACTGGAAATTTTCAAGTTAAACTTTCACAAACGCACCATTACTTTATCAACTCAGCGTATATCAAAAGATTAACAAATAAAAAGATAAACTGAAGAATTTCTTGTCACCTTCCCTAAGATTCTTAAGATTAAAAACAAGTGTTTTGGATCAATGAAGAGAAAGGAAGAACAAGAAATAACTTTAACTTCTTTTATTTCTTTCAATTTATGCAATAATTTGTATCTATGAAAAAACTCAAGCAAATTGAATAAAAAGCATTATCAATGATTTATAACAAATATTGCTGAAGTGATATCATCTATTAAATTAAACAATACAAGTTCTTATTATCTGAAACTGATATACATTTTATTTTTAAAAGATACTGTTCACATTAGGTCACCACAAAGCACATTTATATATAACCATCAATTGTAGAAAAACATAGGAGAGTGACTCTGTATCGGAGGTACTTTTCCTTGATCACAAGGAAGGAGTTTTAGAAGTTAAAGCCATTAAGTTTACAGAAATGCAAACTGCCAAAACATGTTAAACAGAAATTTTATTTTTTAAGAAAAAAGTATGTTTTTCATTTTCCATTCTTGGTATAAATTTCAATTCTTCCCAGTAGAACCAAAACCTCCTGCACCTCTTTCAGTGTCATCCAAAACCTGAAAGATAGAAAGGTGATAAGCCACACAGCTAATTTCAGAGCTTCTTTTAGTTCTTCTCTCCATCTCCTATGGAAGACTTTCATTCTTATTCTATCAATATCACAGTGTATTTAAATAATTTATTACCCAAAGCAATGCTACACAATAGCTACCTAAAAATATTACAAGAAATTTTAAAACCAAGATTTTAATTTTGTTTAAAATAGGACTGGTCATACATACTACTTAGTTATAAAGAGCATATTAAATTCTCAAAATTCTATTTTTTTTCTTATATCATTCATTCTCTATTCAGCTTTTCTGATACTTACTTGAACTTCTTCTATTTCTGGATAAAAAATCCGTTCACAAATGAGCTGTGCAATTCTGTCACCCTTTTTGACTTCAAAGAAAAACAAAACATTTATTACTGATATTTTATTGATTCATTTTCTATATCCTGCCTTATTCAATGAGAATTAGAAGACTGTGTTATTTATAGAAACTCAGAAAATTCAATTAATATTAATGTATTTAACATACCTTCAAACTTTTCTTTGCCAAAATTAAACAATACAACACCAACATTTCCTCTATAATCTTCATCTATAACACCAGCTGAAGGAAAGAAAAATATCCTGATAAGATTATCTCAAAATCATTTTTACATACTTCTAAGATTTTTGTCACTACATCTGAATAAGTGAATGCTGTGTTATGTAAAACCCTGAACTAAGAAATGACATTACTAAAATGTAAAAATGAATTTGGAAAATAGGCCCTAATTTTCCAACCTATCACCCTTATCAAATGGTGAACATTTCCTACATTAATCTGAAAGCAGCAATTACCATCTCCAACCTATTGTCTACCTATAGCACATTTGCCACAAAGACCAGGATAAAATTATGATTTGAGTTTTAAAGGTTTTTCCTGGTAGAAGCTTTCTGCTAATATTCAGATTGAAATATGACTGAGTCGTAAATAAAAATGTCAAAAAGCCTCAAGATCTGCAGTGCTGACATAAACAGCAGTCTTGCAAATATCAAACATCCCATTTTTGTTCATATTCTTTCTCTCCTTTTAAATGGAATCACCATTCATTCTTAAAGCATAATCACTCAGAAAACATTAGCACATAAGTTTAGGAATGAGAACACATTCAAATGTATAATTAATACCCGTGTAGATTATAACACTGGAGTAGATCCTTGCAGGGGAGAATTAAGCCAGATTCCTGCCATGGTCCTAAGAGCTACACTGACCAGACTTGCTGGCATTTATTTACCTTTGGTCCAAGAATTAAAATGTTTCCATAAACACTGGTATGGATGATATAGGTGTACCAGGCCTTCTTATTTCCCTTTTTTACATTGAGGTCTAATGCACATATCATGTAACTCATCCATTTATAATGTACAATTCAGTGGTTTATAAAGTGTTTAAAGTTGTGAAAAAGTTATCACAATCAATTTTAGAACAATTTTGCCACTCCAAAAAAGTCTTCTATTTATTAGCAGTTGCTTCACCATCCTGCCTGCCAATTCTTGTTATGCATAGTAATTCTTTGCTCTAAGTCTGTGCAAGGCTGGACAGGATTCATCTGAACCTACTTGACTATAGCTCCATGTCACATCTTATTTATAATAATACCCTACCCTCTCAAAATACCCTTAGAAGGTGGGCATTTGGCCTTGTGGTTAAGATACCCATACCCCACATCAGAGCCTAGGTTCAGTGTCCAGCCCCAACATCCTGACTTCCTGACTCTAGCTTCCCGCTAGTGCAGACCCTAGGGGGCAAGAATGAAGCTCAGCAGTTGGGTTTCTGTCACACATTTGGAAGACAACTACATTGTGTTCCCAGCTTTGTTCTGGTCAAGTCCCAGCAATTGCAAGCATTAGGGGAATGAATCAGTAGATGGGGGCTCTAGCTCTCTAAAAAAATACCTTTATGAAACAAGAAAAAGTAAAAAAAATTTCAGGAATTTAGCTCAATGCATACTAATGCTGGTTGGCCATACTCCTAATTATTTTAACTGAATATAATTTTTTTAGAGCAAGGGTAATTCTAAGTATATCGTTTCATTTTTATTCTTTTCTGGGGGGAAAAGCAAACTCTTGTTCTAGCTAGGGGAAAAACACTCAGAAAAACCAGTATTTTAGTTCTTCCAGCACATTACATTAGTTATTAAAAGAGCCTCTGTGCTTTCTGAATGAACTACCAGGAGTAAATAAAAGAGTAAATAAAATTGAATTTAAGTACTTCTTAAGGGGCTGGCACTGTGGCATAGTGGGTAAAGCTGCTAACTACAGTAGTGCTGGCATCCCATATGGGCTCAGGTTCAAGCCCTGGCTACTCCACTTCCAATCCAGCTCTGTGCTATGGCATGGGAAAGCAGTGGCAGACAGACCACTTTTTTTTTTTTTTAAGATTTATTTATTTGAAAGGCAGAGTTTCAGAGAGGCAGAGGCACAGGGAGAGAAAGGTCTTCCATCCGCTGGTTCACTCCTCAAATGGCCACAACACCCGGAACTGGGCCGACCCAAAGCCAGGAACCTAGAGCTTCCTACAGGTTTCCTACGTGGGTGCAGAGGCCCAAGCACTTGGGCTATCTTCCACTGCTTTCCCAGGCCATAACAGAGAACTGGATCAGAAGTGGAGCAGCCAGGACTTGAACTGGCACCCAAATGGGATGCTGGCACTGCAGGTGGTAACTTTGCCCACTATGCCACAGCAATGGCCCCATAATAAATCTTTTTTTAAAAAAAGATTTATTTATGTATTTGAAAGAGTTACACAGAGAGAAGAGAGGCAGAGGCAGAGGCAGAGGCAGAGAGGCAAAGAGGCAGAGAGGCGCAGAGAGAGAGAGAGAGAGAGAGAGGTCTTCCACCCGACGGTTCACTTCCCAGTTGGCCACATGGTCGGAGCTGCGCCAACCTAAAGCCAGGAGCCAGGAGCTTCCTCTGGGTCTCCCACCCCCTTAGGGTGCAGGGGCCCTAAGGACTTGGACCATTTTCCACTGCTTTCCCAGGCCATAGTAGAAAGCTGGATTGGAAGTGGAGCAACCGGGTATCAAACTGGTGCCCATCTGGGATGTTGGCGCTTCAGGCCAGGGCGTTAACCCACTGCGATACAGTGCTGGCCCCTCAATAATAAATTTTAAAAAGTACTTCTTAAAAGGTTCCTGATGCAACACTTTTATAAGTTTAAATTAAAGATACATAAATTTTAACAGTGAGGAGAAAGGGTAAGTCTAAAAGTGGGCTTGGATGAAAGGGTGTATTTCCAATTTTAAAGGCTATTGCTAGGTAGTTTGCAGCAAAGGCAGTTCATCTCACTGGATGCACTGCAGGAAGGAGTCTATTCTTTTAGTTGTACAGCAACAAAATTTCAACCAACTCCAAGAATCTTTCTTTTCCCACTGCCACTTTACCATTAATTTAGCCCTATATTATGCAAATAATAAAGACGGGACCAGTTGTTTTCCATACTATTTAAAGTTTTGACTGCAGGAATGATTTAGATTAGCCAAAAAGACCCCTCATATAGCATTTGGTTCCATATTAGAACAAATGTCTGCAGAAGGCAATGGAATTAGTAACTTACCTATCTCAAATGAGTTTGAGAAAGACAATGTGAATTGACTAGCTTCTGAACTCTTTTATCTCTATTAGAAAAATTTTAACCACCCAAGCAATATAAATTATACACATAGAGTAAAAGCTATTAATACTTCCTTAGCCACCCTGAGGCAGCCAATATTACAGTGACATACTTTACAATGCCATTGGTGAGAATTTGGCCTAGCAGTGAAGGTGTTGGTTTGAGCATGGGTATCCCACATTGGAGTGCCTGGGTCTCAGTTCTGGCTCTGCTTCTGACTCCAGCTTATTGCTGATGCACAGCCTGGGAGGCAACAGGTGATGGCTCACGTACGTGGCTCCCTGCCACCCATATAGGAGACCTAGATTAAGTTCCTGGCTACCAGCTTCAGCCTGGCCCCATCCTGGATGATGCAGGTATTAGGAGACTGAATCAGCAAATGGGAGCTCTGTCTCCCTCAAATAATTAATTTTTAAAAATGTAAAACATTATAGATATCATCTGGGATAAACGTATTCAAATCTTACTTATTCTTTTTAAATACAATATACAGAAATACAATATCATTATTTTTCTGTGACTGTTCTTCAACATATCATTCAGCTTGTTTTCACATATTTCTGCTATAAATAAAGCAGTCCTTTTCATATAGCTTTGTACATATACCCTTGTCCTTTTCATTCTTGTCAAATAAGTCCCAAAAGGCATTTTCTTGGATGAAAGGGTGTATTTCCAATTTTAAAGGCTATTGCTAGGTAGTTTGCAAAAAAGGTACAGCCATTCAAATTTCCAACAGCAATATTTAAGAATACTCATTCCCAATTCCAATTCCAGATGGTAGTAATCTTTTAAATTCTGGCCAGTATGACAAATGGCATCTCATTATTTTGTTTGCATTCTCTGAACTAGTGACATTGACTTTTTACCTGGTGTGTTTACTGTACATTTGCATATCCTCTACTATATTTTAGGATTTTTTTTCTTGTCCTTTTTCATATGAAATGAAAAAATTTCTATTTTTTTACTTTATGGTATCTTGTACTATACAAAAGCACTTTATTTTATAAAGTTCTCTGCAAAGTAGTCCTATCAGGATTACTCAAATGGTTGGGTATCATGAATTCTGTAGAGTTGGGTGATCTACTAAGATTTTATGCTTGGGACACAAAAATGTGAAAAGCCTTTAACTCACTAAAAGAAATGAAGTCATTTGAAGTCAATGAAAATGCATGGGGGGAAAAAAGCCCTCAAAATTCTCTTTTAGCATGAATGCCAATGGTATAAAAAATTCAATAGTTCCAAGCTCATTTGCTACCCAACTGCCACTTAACCTTGAAGGAAAACCTAAGATTTATTCTTTCTTAGTATATGGATATAAGCACCAGGGATATTTCTCTTCATGAGAAAGCCGAAAGTATCTTGAAGTTATCACTGGAAAAATCATGCATTGGAACTGGCAGAGTGATTAACTGACTTCAGGCAAGAGTTTTACTGTGTCAAGACTTTGGCATGTCATTTGTTGGAAACCTTTAGCGAAAACCATCCACACCTACCAGATGTGAATTCTGAACAGAATCCTGCATACTCAACTTTTTCCCTTTGACCCTATTTACAGCCTGGGTTTTCTGACAGTATCTCTCTTCAGAAATAAAACCTGTTGCCAACTATGATAAACTTGTGCCTGAGAGACATTTTTAAGATGCTCTGTATCTAAGAACACACCACAGTGTGATTTTATGAAATAGCACCATACTAACCACCAGGCAAACTAACTTTCTATTCCTTTTACATGAGCCTTTTCTCTCCCAGAGGATTGTCTCAAAAAGAGCAAAAATCTGTGAGGAAAAAAAAAAAGTTTCCATGTTAAAAAAAAAAATCTGTGAGGTCCTAAGGGTAGAAATTGTTAACTACAGTCTAATATGTGCCCAGCACTGTTAGATGCTTTATATAAATTATTGTTTAATCTTCCCTCTCAGAGGGAGGCACACTAATTCCTTTGTACAGATGAGGAAACTGAGGCTCAGAAAAGTTTACCTACTAGGTAGGTAGTGACAGAGCATTCCAAAGTCCTCAATCTCTTTGCAACTCTTTGAAATTTCCTTAAAAATACAAATAATCTTTTACATACAAAAATTTTCATCCCAAATGACCATACCCACTAGTAAATGTACTTTTGACAATCAATGAGCTGAACTCATGAGGGAATCCTCAATCACAGAGTGGGTTGCTAAAGTGAAGTCTTGCTATGCAAAACTCAGTCCCAGAACTGTGGGCTCCTGTCTTACCCCACAGCACCACCTAGTGCCACCAAGGCTTTCCAAAATGTTACACTAAAAAGGTCTTAGAGGGCCAGGTTTTAGCACTGGGGCTTAGCTCATGAAATGGCACAGTGAGCTAATTCAGTACAGAGCTGGAGATGGAACAGGGCAATGTGCAACATTAAAGTGCAGAAGAAAAGAACAAGGGGTTGGAATTAAATGGAAAGAAACTCCAGTTCTTTTTTTTTTTTTTTAAAGATTTATTTATTTGACAGTTAAAAGAGGCAGAAGGACACATGGACACACACACACACACACACACACAAGAAGAATATCAATTTTCCATCTGCTGGCTGACTCTCCAAATGGCCACACATTAGTAGAGCTGGATTGTAAGTGGAGCAGATGTGTCAAGAACCAGTATCCAAAAGGGAAGCCAACATCGCAGGCAGCAGCTTAACCCACTAAGGCAAAACATCAGCCAGGAGACTACAGTTTTAAAGACATCAACTTTGCTCATCTGTTAAAAGTCTCAATAAACTAACTGTTAAAATAGTTGGAGTAAAAGGCTAGTATACCCAGTTATCTGAGGGCTGGAAGATGTAACGTTAAGTGAAGTTCTCACTGCTCATAAGGACAGAGAAAATCAGGTTGAGTATCTACCAATGGAAGAAGCAATCTCAAGCCAGGAAGCTCTATCAAGAGGGTGAAAATGTCCTTATCATGAGGGGGTAGTTAAAAATTCTATATCAAGAGTGTCTAGCAGAGGCCCTGGGGCTTCTTCATGATGGGGCCATTTGGGGAAGTTAACTTTGGGAGACAGGAATTAGGTTCTGTTAAATGAGAAACTGGTGCCACTGAGGACTCTCTTGGCAAGAAACTTAAAAACAAACAGTGTTTTCTCTTCTGCCTCCAAGGAAAGGTTCTCTTAAATTTTGCAAACATGGATGGCCTCTCTCACAGGGGTAAGAAAATTCTTACAAGATAGTCTTGAGGCTGTTGTGGTGTAGCAGGTGAAGCTGTTACCTGCAATGCCGGCATCTCATATGTGCATCAGTCTTAGCCGCTCTACTTCTAATCCTGGGAAAAGCAGCAGAAGATGGCTCAAGTGTTTGGGTCCCTACGACCTACATGGAAGGCCTGGAAGAAGCTACTGGCTTCAGCCTGGCTCCACTCCTGCTGTTGCAGCCATATGGGGAATGAACCAACAGATGGAAGATTTATTCAAATAATCTTAAAAAAAAAAAAAAGACAGTCCTGCATTTCTACAAACTTTTATTTAAAAAAATTAAACTCTTTAAGTAAAATATAATTGCTCAAAATAATCATACAAAAGCTTTTCCTCTAAGAATAATCATTTTTGGACTGAACACAGATTATCACTAAAACAAAGCAAAACTCCAGTCAGATAGTGCCCAGTTAGCCTATTAGTAAAATAACATGCATTTTATATAACGGTCATTGAAAAATTAGACTCTTAGTATTTGAAACTATGTCCAATTGTGCATTACTTCAGGTGTAGAAATTTCTAGAGGCAAGACAACAAAAATTCATTTTCTTTTCTTGAAAACAAAATCTGTCATTTGAAAATGTACATTTTCAGCAAATACAAACATTTACAGAGTAAGAAACGGAAATACATTACCTCCCACATCTATGAAGTATTTTGCAGCCAAGCCAGAACGTGGAGCTGAAAAACAAGAGACACTGACTTTTCAAAGTGGGGAGGACAGCACAGTGTAATTGACAAAATTTAAGCAGATCACTCTCCTCTAATAACTATTTTCATCTTAATTTTAGCAGATGGCTCTGAATAAAAATATTTATCATACTATACTCATATTACCAAGGTTGAAAAGATTAATTTAGAAAAATCGAGCAAAGTTTCCATTCAAAACCAACTCCCACATAACTTTAGTCAACTGAGGATTTGCAGTGTTATAGACCTGGGAGACGGATGACTACAATGTACAGAAAGGAGAGCAAGTAGGGAAGCCTAGAGAGGTATTCAAAGTTTGGCCAAACAGGAGAAGAAAGGGCACTGCAGCTGGCAGGGACACAGGACTGAGGAAGAGGACTATTGTTTTAGGATGGGAGTCCTGAATGTGTATAAGATAGGTAGGAACAAGAATGGCCTGGGTGGTAGGTGGGTACCTAATCAAACAGTAGCAGAGCTTAGTCTAGAACCTGAGACTCTCACTCATGATTCAGGTGCAAAAAACATACCTCTATATAACACATGCCAGCATGAAACACATGGACCACAGCAAGATAAAATGCCTAATAGCAATCAAGTAAAGTGCCCAAAATTAAGCATCAAAACTTCAACTCCAGTATATTTTATTCTTAAAATTAAAACATAAAGGGAAAAGCTTACATTTATGCCTTATACTTGTTGACCTAACATCAGGTTTATCATTCCTTACAGTAATTTCTAGTATTTTATTTCAGAATAATTTAAATAGGCACTCTGTCAATAAATGCCGCCTCTTTCTACTCTGATCCATTTCCTGACTTTCCCCCCCAAAACACTCAAAAAATATCCCCAACCATGGCAAAAAGGAGATGAGAGAACCTGTCTTATTCTCCTTTTAAGGGCTAATGTACTACCAGTTCTCCCATTCATGGCTAACAGAACAGGGATTGGTAATCTACCACCATTCTACATAGAGGCTCACTATTTTATTTATTCCTCTATTTTTACTCTGAAGTTAGTTAAAAGTATGATCTTAAGTTTTAAAGGGCCAGTGTTGTGGTATAACAGGTAAAGCTACCACTTGCCATCTGGGAAGTGAACCAGCAGAAGGAAGATTGTCTGTCTGTCTGTCCTTCTCTTTCTGTAACTGACTTTCAAATAAATAAATAAATCTTAAAAAAAAAAAAAAAAGGAGTTTTGAACTTTGGTGACAAGTGACCTGCTACAGAGAAAAATCAAACCTACTGACTTTCATTCTATTTCTAGTTTCTCCCAACGAGGCGTTCCCTTTAGAACACTGTAGACTTTCTCTTAGCCTAATCACAGGGAAAGATACCAAAAGAAGAAAAGGTTTAGTTGAAAGATACACTCTAAGAAAAAAACCGGTCAGAAGTTTGATCCTCATAATATAAAATGTCATCTACCATTATCCTAAACCCTTCTCTATTTTCTTGACAACATATAGTAGCCACTCTCATCACTATCTTCACAAAATCTAGCTTCTAAGCAATCTGATTCTTGTTTTAAGACACCCACAATCTATATTGGAGTGCTTGGGTTCTAGTTTCAGCTCCATTTCTGACCAGCTTCCTGCTGACCTGCACCCTGGGAGGCAGCAGGTGATGGCTTAAGTAATTGAGTCCGCTGCTGCCACCTACATGACTCAGCATGAGTTCCTGACTCCCGGGTTTGGTCTGGCCCATTTCCAGCTACTGCAAGCATTTAGGGAATGAACCAGCACTCTGTCTCTGTCTTCCTTTCAAATAAAATAAAGTAAAATAAAAAGACATAAAGAAAATAAAGGGCGGGGCCGGCGCCATGGCGCACTAGGTTAATCCTCCGCCTGCAGCGCCGGCATCCTATATGGGTGCCGGGTTCTAGTCCCGGTTGCTCTTCTTCCAGGCCAGCTCTCTGCTGTGGCCTGGGAAGACAGTGGAGGATGGCCCAAGTGCTTGGGCCCCTGCACCCACATGGGAGACCAGGAAGAAGCACCTGGCTCCTGGCTTCGGATCAGCGCTGCTCTGGCCGTTGCGGCCATTTGGGGAGTGAACCAGCGGAAGGAAGACCTTTCTCTTTGTCTCTCTCACTGTCTCTAACTCTACCTGTCAAATAAATAAATAAATCTTAAAAAAAAAAAAAGGGCAAAAAGAGAGCCAGAAGCAGATATGATATGTAAACGAAAGTTTTCAAATGGCTCTACTGCCTTGAGATGGTACTTCTGAATTTTAGGATACAACCCAAGCAATACCCCTTTTTACTTAACAAAACTTACATGAAAGACCACATCACAAAGGGAGAACTTGACAAAATTTACCTGCTCCTTAAATTACATACCTATTCTTCCATAGCATCCAGAAGGAAGAGCTATCTGAATGTCCGTTTTCACAATGGCTTTCTCCATAGGTGGTACTGTATAATCATAAGCACTAAGAAGATATCGAAAGAAAAGAACTGGTATTTACTTACAATTGTTTTTACATTTTCTTTCCTTGTGACCAAGCACAGAAATGCTTTAAATATATTTCATAAAATAATTCATACAATCTTCTTTTATCTTGCTATGATGAATTTCAAATTCTTTTTTTAAAAAGTTTATAAAGCAGAAATTTTCCTTTTGCATATTACTAAATTGACGATAGCTTAGATATAATTCTCTGTGAATTTATTTTAGTGGAGAGAAGAGATGTCAACATTGTAAATGTCTTCACCCCTGAACAAAATGCCACTGGGAGACTTGACAACTACTTCATAAAAATTCAAGAGATTTTACAATGAGAAGTGGAAGTTACTTTGGAGACTTCAATTAAATCTGTTAAGGTATTACTATATTTAATATATAGATTATATTGAAATTTCCTCTTTAAATAGCTAAGCCCTGATTTACTAAAGGGTTAGGTTATTTCCACGACAATTGTAGTATCCAGAAGGTCATTTATATTCATTAGGTGGATGCTTAAAGTATTTTAAATCAGTCTCCCATAGGACTCACAACAGTGCCCAGATATACACTTGGGAAGGATCCAGTCAAACGATTATCACTCTACTTTTATCCATTAAAATTAAGAGACTACACTACACCGCTTTGGGCTATGGCAGCCTACCCATCCCACTTCTCTTTTCCATTCCTCTCTCTGGTACTGCCATCATGCACTCCTCTCTCCCCTTCTCCTGTACTCAGAGCACAAATTCTCACATCTGATTACTTGGAATGCCCTAAAAATGAATCCAAATGCTTGGAATTTAATCACAGAACACCACCTCCCTCCCACCATCCCTTTTCAACTATGAACCAAGCACAGTCAAAAACAAACAAAAACCCACTAAATTCAGGGTAAAAAAAAAATTCTATGACATTCGAGCCCTGGGGCAGATAAATTCACATCTTCATATACTCCTTTATCTGCAAAAAGGAACACTCATCTAATTCAAGATTCTCGTGAGGATATAAAATAGTATAAGGGAAAGCTTTTAGTACAGGCCAAGGGGCTGAACGAATGAAAGGGTGTGCCTGGTGTCCCTGCTTCTCATAGTCGGGTCCTTACTGAGGTGGATGCATCTAGAAGCAAGCCTTGCAGGCAGGTAGCAGCAGCATTCATTCACCTCCTGAGAGGGGTTCTCAGCGTACGAGAAGCCAGTCTCCCACCTAGGCTTTCCTTTCTAATGCGCACCGTGTCAGCCTCAGGCCACGCTCTGAGGGCCAACACCGACCCTTTTCATCTCCATCTTCCACTGGATAAGGGCATAACCAGTGCCCAAATAAAAACCCACCCGGGTAGACACATCATACGTGTCCTTATTTACCATGCTACACGCTGCAGCCAAATCCCTATGGATTCCCCGCTAAAGCCAAAAATTAACGTTTTGCAACATAGAAATGTCGGTCGGTTTATTTTGGTCACTTTTTCGGCGAATGTTTCCAGTTAAATGCAAGCTGACTCGACTTCGCGCGCTCTGCACCACCTCTGAGGCGGTAGTAGAGAGAGCGGGGACACATGGTGCGGCCCTTCCCAGCTTTCTTCCCGGGCCGGCACCCACCTGTACAGGTCGTAGCCCGCGGCCCGCGCAGACCCCCGGGTCGGGGCCGTAGCGTGCTCCGAAAGGCGGGAAAAGCGCAGCCGCATGGTACCCTCCTCCGCAGCCCGGGCCCGCTTGCTGGGCGAGATGGCCGGTGCCTCTTCAGAGCAGGGCATGGCAGCGTGACGGCGCAAGCGATAGCAGAAGCGGGAAGAGATGGGGGAGGGGACAACAGAGCGCAGAATGAGCCCAGCCCCGGGGACCACCACAATCTCTTTAAAAGCTTCCCGCCAGTTCTCCCCCGCCCCGCCCCACCTCCCGGACGAGCCCACAGCTCCGGCGGAGAGGGGTGGAGAGGTTCAAATTTTAGGCTGGGAGGCCGTCTCTCTGACCAGGTTTGGGTTTGGAAACGATGGAGCCTCTTAAAACTTCACGAACTCAAATCATGGCCCCAGACCTATGGAGATGGCTTCCGCCGTGTCGTCCGCAAGAGACCGACAACGACCCCTACCCTCCCACCTAGAGATGGAATGGACTCGCTCTCGTGCGTAATTAGGCCCAGCGTTTTCCCCCTCCCCCTACTGGCACACGCCAGGGGCTTTCCTCCCTGGTCGCGCGCAGTGCCCTCCCTGGCCCCTGGCAGGGGCGGTGCAGCGGCCCCCAGCCTCCCCACGCCTTAGAAAGCGAGCACTTGCAGCCCGGCCCCGGCTTTACTGGCTCCGCTGCAGCCTCGGCTCCGGCGGGTAGCGCTGGACAGCAGCCGACGCTGCGTGGCGGGGCCGAGGGGCGGGCCAGGCCCGGAGAGTCCTGCGCGCTCAGGTCGCAGCCGAGCGCGCCATGCGTCCGTAAACCCCGCGCTGAGCAAAGACGGAAGGAAACGGTAGCGGGCCGCGGGCCGCCGAACAAGGGCAGTCATTTCCTCAGAGGTTTGCGCTGGTTGGTGGTCGGCGCCCGCGGACGCGCGCCAGGCCGTGCGCCCTAAACGCGTCCCGGGCTCGTGACCTCGGAAGTAGTAACCGCCTCTGAAGAGAGGCGGCGCGTAGGTTGCCTGGAGCAGGCGCAGGCCCCCGGGGGGCCCCCGAATCCGGCCCTCGGTGTCTCCAGTCCCGGTGCCGCCTCCCGCCCTCGCCCCTCGCCGTGTTCTCGCGCCGTCGGAGGCTGGGACAGGGGGCCCTGCTCCTCGGCTGCTTACCCGGGGCGGCGGCGGCGCCCGTGGCCATGGCTCCCAGGGCTCTGATCCCTGGGGCGCTCACTGCGCATCACAGTGCCCGCGGCGGTCCCTGCGCCCCGGACCGCTGCCGAGGCTGAGCGCGAGGCTGCGCGCCCGAGTTCCTGGCAGTTCCGAGGGCGCAGGACGCTTGTAAAGGAGGGAGGGTGAGAGCTGTCCGCAAGGGTAGCGGCGTCGAACTCTTGGCATTGAGGTTCCGCCTGACCCAGCAGAAGCGCAGAGCGGGAGTCCCGTGTCCGGGTTTCGAACACAGATCCTGGGCCACGGTGGTTTACCTTACAGTGGGGTGAATACAGAAGTGTCTAGATCATTGTAAAGCCACTTCCCTGGGATCCACACGTCCCTGGTTATCTCCAGAACGGACTGCAAAATCATGCACTTTACTTTTCAAAATAAGTAGGCGCTCCAGGGCATGCTGCTATTTTTTTATTTTTTTGATACCATAAATTTTCTGAATTAGAATAGTTGAGAATTGAAGTCTCTTACCCTTTCTCCTTCCCATCTGCCATATAAGGATGTTCTCAGCAGTTAATATTTACTTCATCATGACTCCATCAATATCATTTTTGCCAAGACAAGTAATAATATTATTTCATTTTTTTATATCTGTCCCCCTCAAGTTAATACCTTGTTTTTCCTTGTCTTTTTGTTGGTGGTGTACTTAATTTACCTACATAGCATCAAATGAAGCATCTAAATACATCAAATACCTGCAAGTTCTATTTCCCCTTAGAACCTTTCTCCAGCCTCCAGTCCTCCCTCTTCTATTTTTTTTTTCTCTAGTCTGTACTAGTGGCTGTAAGTCCTGCTGAATAGCTGTCATCCAGGCACTTCATTCCCTTTACCTCTCTTGTACTAGAGCCTTGTTTTTATGGCTTAGTATCTTCCTCTTAGTTTACTCCCTTGTTTTGCTGAAGTACTTTCTCTAGTAATTTCCTGCAAAAGTGCAGGGGAAATAAATTGAGCCCTTCTAAAATGTTATGATTGTAATGACTTCCTTTTCCTTCATTCATGAAACTTCCTTACAAACAGCAGTGGCCTCTGCCCTCTCTTATCTCTTACAACACTAGTATATCATTCATTTGCCACTTGGCCATAGATACCCATTATGTAATCTTATGTTGTATGCACTTTATCTTTTACATTAGTAAGAGTCATAAACTAATGAATCTCTTAAAGTGCTTACTTCAATGTTTGATACAAAACATTTGACATAATACCTAGCACCAAGAAAGTATTCTGCTATATCTTCTGTTAATCTGGATACAGAAAGTGTTTGTTTATTGTTGTCACCTTTCATCTGAGGTTATTAAAAAGGCTGTAATCTATCTAGAAGACAGTAGCAGGTTAGCACTGGAGCCAGTAAGCTTTTAATGGAACATTATGACAATAAAATAATTTGATATGAACATACTAATTAAATCCTGGATAGTGCAATTAATAACACCTAGAGATGTTCCAACTGTAGTTTATTTCATGTTGTCTTTTTTTTTTTTAACGATTTATTTATTTATTTGAAAGTCAGTGTTACACAGAGAGAGAAGGAGAGGCAGAGAGAGAGAGAGAGAGAGAGAGGTCTTCCATCCACTGGCTCATTCCCCAGTTGGCTGCAACGGCCGGAGCAGTGCCGATCCGAAGCCAAGAGCCAGGAGTTTCTTCCGGGTCTCCCTTGTGGATGCAGGGGCCCAAGGACTTGGGCCATCTCCTATCAGTCATGCTGATTAGTTAATTACATAATTAAGTGGCAACTCCATTTTGACAATGCAAATCCATCTTTTATAAGCAAAGTTCTCTTTCCTACCTCTGTAGGAATTTGGAGGGATTTCTCGTTCCTTTTAATGAAGACCTATATGATGATTTTCTAAGTGCTTTAGAAGTATTTACTCACTTAATCAAAACAGCCAGTGGAAATAAAGGCTATTGGCATCCCCCTTTGACAGATGTGAAAACCAAAGCAAACAATTTGCCCAAGGTCACACAGCTCACAACTAAGGAAAAAAAAAACTCTTAAACTACTTTCCTCAGGGGCAGTGTATTCTTTGACAATCACTCAGGAATGGAAAAGGTGAAAATGTTAATAGAAGACTGTGATCATTTCCCATAACTGCAATTCTCTCTCGGAATTCAGAACATTCCAGTGTGGGCCAAAATACCTCATTTATCATTCCACAGTTCACCCTCACTAGAAATATATGTAATCCAATAATAGACAGAAGCCATTCTTTCGTTCTGGCACCAAAAATTAGAAGTGCTCTTTTCTTTCAAGCCTCGAGGTTTTTGCACCATAAAACAGAATGCCAGTTTCAGGTTGAGGATGGGTGAGAAGTATGCCTGTTTTGTAAAAGGGCAATTGCAGTAGGGCAGATGGAAAGAACTAGTATTTAGTAGATGAGTTTCAGCAACAAATGTGTATGTGTGTCATTCATTTAAAACTGTTTAGTCCAGAATACAATCAGGAAATCTAAAGGGCCTTATGTTCCCCCAGGAGTATATACAGCCAAATTTGAAAACACTTAACTAAAGTATACCTTGTGAATGCCACAAGGACGTTCTTGCCAGGCTCTTGGGCAAAGATCCTGTAAATACAACCATACTTCAAAATGTTTGTGGGAAAAAAAATGAAGCTAAAACATGTCTATGTTAGTGCAAGAGTTTTGAAATCCATGCATAGTTTTTTCATAATACACGTTTTCCACAAATTTTTTGAAAGCCCCTTGTATTATTATTATTAAAAGTCCCTTGTATTTGATTTCAAAAGACCAGCACTGGGATCTTAAATATATAAGTAGCTCGATAGATAGACATTAAATTGAGTGGCACTTAAATAAGCAGGTAAGGAGCTAGCAAATAATCAACAAAACAAGCATTTTTTTCTACAAAGCTACTTTGGACTACCTCACAAATTTATGCCTCTTTGTACTTCAAAAATTCAAGTGGATCAGAATACTTAAAACACAAACAGAACTACAGTTCTCACTAATACACTGAATACCCAATCTTTCTTAACTAACATAATGATCATGAAAAGCTGACTCTAAATTATGCCTTGTGTGTAGGAGTACCAGGGGACAAGATTTCTATAATCACAGTCCAGTGAAGGACTACTGTTATTTCTTTTTAAAGTATCATTGGATTTGCAGGAAGAAGAACAACAAAAACAACCAAAAAAAAAAAAAAAAAACTGGATGGCTTAAGAACCAGGGAACACAGGAGAATTAACTGGAGAGCTGGGTTAAATGCACACAACCCTGTCACAACTCCAGGATGAGGGTGATTCTGCTTAAGGAGCACTGCTTTGGGGTGTTCACTTCCAAATTATCTATTGGAATCTACATATCCTGGAAAAAATGTCTTCACATTTAACCAACATACCAGCTTTCCCCAAGTGACCGTGTTGTAGACCATTTGATAGATACATCATTATCTTATAGGAGCAGGGCCAGGGCTTTTGTTCTTTGGAATAAATTTGTAGTAAAATTTAATTAGGGGTAATTGTGGAACAGGCAGCACTCAGACTGTTTCTTAGTTAAGTTGAATGGAGACCATTAAAGCAAGTAAAAAAAAAAAAAGATGCCTCACAACAATTAAACAGGACTGAAAGGCTGATACTCACTGCAGAATGTGAGATTTTGAGTAATAAGTAACTTAATATATTTGACAGTTTTAATTGCAAGATTAGACCGGGGGAGGAATGGGGGTGGAGTGGGTTATATTAACTAAACTTGAAAGCTGTTGAAGAACTGAGCCAGCTCTAGGCTTCCTCCGTCTCTCCTGGATCAAAGGATCTCTTTCATGTTGTGTCTCCTTCTCTCATCTTTGAAGAGCATCTAATTACACTGAAAAATTAACCATATAATGTAGAACAACTAACCTTTCAGTGTGATCTTTGGCTTATAAATTTCAAAGTGTGATGATGGAAGCTCAGGAAGTATTTTAATAAATCAAACCAAGGCAAATATGGATCCATTGTCAGAAACTGCTCATGTGTAGAAATCTGTATTGTAAATAAGGGGCACTAAGCTACAATTAATACTGCAGAGATTTGAGAACTGGAAACATTTTAACCCATTTTGTAAGGACTCAGGAATCAAGATATTCATTCTTTAAAATGCTTAGTCCTGTCTCAGTTATGTTTTAGCCAGCTTGTGTTGTTGGGTTAAACAGTAGATTTTTTTAAAATTTATGTTTTTATTATTTATTTTCCCACAATTCTTCAGGCTGAAAATCCAAGATCAGGATGTCATCATGGTGGGATTCTGATGAGGGCTCTTCTTAACTTGTAGATGACCATCTTCTTACTGTGTGTTCTCAGTTTCTTTCCATGGCTTGGGATACTACAGTATGACCTCACTGTAACTTAATTACCTCTCAAGGCCTCATCAAATCTCATCATATAAGAATGGGAGGGGGGCCGGCGCCGCTGCTCATTAGGCTAATCCTCTGCCTAGCGGCGCCGGCACACCGGGTTCTAGTCCCGGTTGGGGCGCCGGATTCTGTCCCGGTTGCCCCTCTTTCAGGCCAGCTCTCTGCTGTGGCCAGGGAGCGCAGTGGAGGATGGCCCAGGTGCTTGGGCCCTGCACCCCATGGGAGACCAGGAAAAGCACCTGGCTCCTGGTCCTGCCATCGGATCAGCGCGCCAATGGCAAAAGGAAGACCTTTCTCTAAAAAAAAAAGAATGGGAGGGGGTGTGACCCAAGCATTTAGTTCATAACAGGAATCAATGTGTTTTTTCTTTAAAATACTTTTAGAAAATGTATTCTTGAGTAACTGCCTAAACTATTTCTCAGTGTAAACACACACATTTCTTTGTAATATTTTTAGTTTGGGAATAAAATCTAAGATA